TTATATGACATATTTTTTTTTTATCGGCGGAAAAACATATTTAAGGGGTGAAATACATCCTCAAAGTTCGGCCCCCAAAACAGTTTTCTCTAAATATCTGGGGTTCTAATCAATATTTTGGAATGAAAAAAATGTAAATTGCTTCTTATAAAAAAACAAATGTTTCACATTAGATTCCGTGTTTGGAGGCTGCTACCCTTATTTTTAATTTCAGAAAAATTATATTTTTCAAACATTTTTTATACAGGGTGGTCGCGATGTAATGGGCCAAAATTCATGACTAGATTCCTGACGTGAAAATATTGCGATTTAGACAAACTCACCTNTCGTATTGCAATTTTGTTGTTTTTTGAAGACGCTTTTGTGTCGACATTTTTAATAATAATTATGCAAAATTATTATAAACAAGAGTCAGTATTAGACAAAAACACATACAACTGACAGATGTCTTTTAGGTTATGAAACATGAAACAAATGCAAACTCGTAAATAACGGGTAACTACAACATAAAATAGTTTGTAACACGTTATCTTTAATTATAACAGAGTTTCTTAAAGGCAAGGGATTTGGTGTCGCTATAGTTTAACGTACGTGTTATTTGTCTAATGAAAATGAACGGCTTGTTAATTTTACATTTACTTGCGGTTTTATAAACGCACATCGAAGGTAAGTTGTAAAATGTAAGTAACTTAGGTAAGTATTTACCCTAAAATTATTGTTAGGTTAAATCAAACGAAGAAGGATCTAACAAGGAAACTACCCCAACCCGAACTCTCTGATTTCCAATATTTTTATATATGTTGTAGACTCGGTTGTAGAATATAAAAAATTAAATGACATATTTTTTTTATCGGCGGAAAAACATATTTAGGGGGTGGGTGAAATACATCCTCAAAGTTCGCCCCCCAAAACAGTTTTTTCTAAATATCTAGGGTTCTAATCAATATTTAGGATTGAAAAAAAAATGGAAATTGCTTCTTATAAAAAAAACAAATGTTTCACATTAGATTCCGTGTTTGGAGGTTGCTACCCTTATTTTTTATTTCAGAAAAACTATATTTTTCAAACATTTTTTATATACAAGAAAATTCATGTTAACAAAATAAAAAATATGATTAATTAACAAAATTAAATTCTCTTTTTAGGGAGTGAACAACCCTCTAGTGTGCTAAAAATGTACGATTAGAATTAACATTGCAAAATAAAAAGTTTTTACTTTTTCTCTAATCATATGAATAATTTGTTCTATTAGCCGCAAACAGATTTAAACGGATGCAAACTACCCCTCATGTTCACCCCCAAAAACAGTATTTCTGTGACATCTCAATATTTTGAAATGAAATAAAATGGAAATTACTTCTTTTAAAAAAATAAAATGTTTCACAAGTGATTCCGTGTTTGGNACTGTAACAGTACGCCCTGCGTTGTCTCTTTTAGGACGAAAACTACCAGTTTCTCCAAGTCTATTAAAAAGTTCTTGAAATAGTTTCCGATTTGGTTGCCTTCTATTCGGATACAACTCTGAATACCGACGAAGCGCTCGACGTCCAACATAATCTGATTGCGCATAAACGCAAACCATATCGCGCATTTCTCCATTTGAAAATAAATTATGGCGTGGCATGTTATCTCGCACTACGATTTAGATCATAAAGTAAAGAATACTTTTAATAAGGCACGAATAATACTGTAATATTACTGACAGCACTAAGATAAGTGGAAAATGTCAAAATTGGATTTTAACATAAGCCTACTTGAAAATTTTTGCCGATTTGTAATTGAATGCAAATACATTGGAATTTTCAATGGCAAATTTTACGAGAACGGTGCCAGATAGCGACTATCAAAAAGTATAGCTTTTTTGTGTAAAAGAAGTTGTAAAATCAGAATTTGCTACCTGAGAATTAGATTTTTGAAAGATAAAAAAGTTCTGTCGTTTTCAACGCATTCGACCTAGCGCAGGTGGCGCTCTCTATGAGCTACAAGCAAACCATGGATATATTTCAATCTCTCGCCCCAGAAAACCCCTAACACCAAAATTTCATCTCGATATGAGCATTTATTATGAAATAAATAAGAAAAAACTAAAATAATATTTTGCATTAAACACCCTGTATCTCTGTAAGTATCAACATTTGGACTAAGGTGAGTTTGTCTAAATCGCAATATTTTCACGTCAGGAATCTAGTCATGAATTTTGGCCCATTACATCGTGACCACCCTGTATATAAAAATTCATATTTGTTAAAAAAAAAATAAAAAATATGAAAAAAATAATAATTTCTCATTTTAGGGGGCGAACAACCCCCTAGTAATCCACTAGTGTGCGAAAAATGTCTTCACTTTTTCTCTAATCATAGGAATAATTTTTTCTCTTGGTCTAAAACGGATTTAAACTGATGCAAACTACCCCTGATATTCACCCCCAAAAACAGTATATCCGTGATATCTCGGGTTCTAATAAATATTTTGGAATGAAACAAAATGGAAAATACCGAACCCGTTTTTGAGGGATGAACATCAGGGGTAGTTTGCATCAGTTTAAATCCGTTTTAGACCAATAGAAAAAATTATTTGTGAAATATCTGTTTTTTTTTATAAGAAGTAATTGCCATTTCGTTTCATTCCAAAATATTGATTAGAACCCGAGATGTCACAGAAATACTGTTTTTGGGGGTGAACATGAGGGGTAGTTTGCATCCGTTTAAATCCGTTTGAGGCTAATAGAACAAATTATTCGTATGATTAGAGAAAAAGTAAAAACTTTTTATTTTGTAATGTTAATTCTAATCGTATAGACAT